CTTTATTCCTGTACAACACTGGCCTTGCAGACTTATTCGGTTTCGAAATCAGCTGATCATTTACATTCGACATCTTTTGTGGAATAACATCTGCTGCTATTGAAATAAACATTGCTATTTCTTGCAGCCAATTATTAAAATTTTTCACATATGGATAGGATAAACTCAAGGAAAAAACGGAGCGCGCCCATTCCTCACGTCGGAATTTTTAAATGTCCAGCAGCACCAGCATTCTTCAAAAAGTTGCTTACCATTGTACTACTATCGGTCATTTTTAATCCGGAAAGGCACGAACTTTAGTTATTTGACTACGAATTAATAGTTGTGGACGTCCAAAATTAAATTCCAGTCTAGATATCACATCATTCACGCTTGATGGATGGATAAGCAATGATTCTACTTTTTGTTTAGCTGACCCTTTCAAGGCTTTTTGTAGACGAAACAAATTCTCTAGATCGGTGTACATATACATGGAAGTAGTTTCTTTAAAGGCTGCAAAAAACATTAAACATGGGCAAATCTAGAAGTTTTCGAATATGTGGAGGTTGCATAGTTATTGATTGTGGCAGAATGTTAGGTTGAGATTCACGCAATCCTGCGTTTATATGGCTAGAAGCAAACTGGGGATGTATTCCACAAGTATTCGACAGATTGTTGGCAGTTGTTGTGTAAGCGGTATTACTGGACAAGTTATTTAAGTTAGGATTGACAAAATAGGTGTTTCTGTCGGCGTAGGTGGCACAATTCGGTGGTAATCCGGAATGGTTGACTTTTAGGTTTCTGATGGCCATTTGTTGGTAACTATTACCATTGGCAAAAGTAACATTGCTATTGGGAACTATATTTAAGAAATTACTGTAGGCAGAGGTTATATTGGCAGTCGAGCGNTAAGTATTCGGCGGATTGTTGGCAGTTGTTGTGTAAGCGTCGACGTAGGTGGCACAATTCGGTGGTAATCCGGAATGGTTGACTTTTAGGTTTCTGTTGGCCATTTGTTGGTAACTATTACCATTGGCAAAAGTATCATTGCTATTGGGAACTATGTTTAAGAAATTACTGTAGGTAGAGGTTATATTGGCAGTCGAACGAGCGGTTGAAACGTCGGCAGTGGTGGCAAAGTTACCACTATCTACGTTGACGTTGGCAGAGAAAATGTCGGCAGCGTTAGTGTTGGCAGAACTAACAATGGCAGAAGTTGCACTGGCAAAGGCGGTATTGGCATGAATTACGTCGGCAGAATTGACGTTGGCAGAGCTGATATTGGCAGATTGGGGGTTGATAGAGGCAATGTCGGCAGAATTGATGCTAAATTTAGATTGTATGGCAATAGAATTCCTTAAATCTAACTTTTCTTTCTCTGACGCTGCCAATGAGCGTTGTAACTCTCAGATTTGTTTCTGTAAATCACTTATTGACTTATCTGTTTGTGTAGGCATGACCTCCATCTCTCCTTCGCTGGCTGATTCCATCTCAGTACTTCCGTGTGACGAATCCATGTGATTATCTGGCAATTACTTTGGCGTATTCTGTATTTTGATTCGAAGATTGTAATGATTCATTGGATTTCCGTCTCAGTAGGTTACGTTGAGATGAAGAATATTTAAAAATTTTGCGGCAGCAAATAAACGTTCGAAAGAATATCAACATTAAAGAGTATTACAAACAAGCGGTTTATTGAGTTTTTACATTCAAATCAACAGCACAGTTTTAATATCTAAAATCAAATAATTTTAAATAAAGAACTATTTTAACTATTCAAAAGACTTACTCTTCGTTTTTCTTTCTTCAAACGTTCTGTACAAACTGAATTTAAAATGAAGTATATGAATGCATATATGAACGCTTCGTTAAAATTTGAAACTTTTAACGAAATAAATTAAAGTGATACCATATTTAAAAATTCAGTAATGTTTTAAAGTAAATGAAGGTTAAGAACATAAATGTAAAATTGAATAAATGAAAATCTTAAGTTTAATCAGCAACACCAATAGAACCACTGTTTGATCTTTTTCAGCGTTTTTGTAATGCCTAGGTGCCATCCACTAGGACCGTTATGGAATTCCTTAAAAACATCCGAAATTCTTAACTTCGGAACTACTATTAGCTTCCGGGAACACTGGCCATCTTCATTTTCCCACACTCTATGTAAACAGCCGGATATCAGCTCTAAACTGTTCCATTGTGCCCAGTATGCCTTTGCGATAGGACTTTCCGCAGCCATTTGTTCCTTACTTGGTCGTCTATTTACCTCCAACCCGTGCATTACTAATTCTAAATCTGGGTCTTCCTGCTGGCATTTCCTTAAGTTACTTGCCTCCCACTCTTCTGCTTGCGTAACTTTCATTAGCCGGACATCTATTATGTCTTCTTTACCCTCAGCTTTTGAGCAATGTTAACATTCTATACTACATGGTCGACGGGACATAGCGTCAGCTTTTCCCTGCGTATTCCCCTTGCGGTGCTCGATTGCGAGGTCATAACTTTGAGAAGTTTTTGGTTCATCTTTCTCCGCCTTTCGTTTTTGCTGTACCTCCTGTCTGCTGAAACTTGTTCTGCATTCGCGTGCGAAGTGACCAGGCTTTCCACATTTAAAGCCTTTCCCCGCTTGAGTCTTGCAACCAGAACGATTCATCTCTTTTAGCGATTTCAGAATTCTCAATATTTCCGTCATCACATCTGGTGTTTCAACCTCGACTTTATTTACTTTGTAGGATGGTCTGCTAATGAGTGCCGCCGTTGTTTGTGCATACACAACAGTTTCAGCGAATGTCAACTTTGGATTCGCGTACGTCTCTCGCTTGGAGTACACGTCTTTTATTCCGCTGATGAATCTTTGTATCTTCACCCTTTCAAGATGCTCACCTGAAGTGTCCCCAATGGCTAAATGAGCCAATCTTTCAACTTCCGAAGCATATTCCTGCAGAGATTCGTTGGATTTTTGGTCGCGTTTTTCGAACTCCATCTGGTAAATTTGTCTTCTGTGTTCGCTACCATAGCGTCTTTCCAAGGCTTGCATCAATTCGTCATAATCATTTATCTCGCTTACAGATATGGTTTGCAAAAGTTCGGCTGCCGGTCCTTCCAACGAAACGAATAGTGCAGCGGATTTTTCCTCTATGCTCCAGTTGTTTGTTTCAGCTGTCTTCTCAAATTGGAGCTTAAAGACTTGAAATGGGATTTTCCCGTCAAAAGATGGTGTTTTTACCTTCGGAGCGCTCACTGAAGTGGTTGGACGATTTAGCTGTAATTCCCGGAAACGACTTTCTAATGTGTTGACTTTGGTCTCAAGTAGATCTTGCCTTTCCTTAAGTTCCGCATTGTTCCTCACCAGATTTTGCTGTATTTGCGCTATTGTTCCTTCCAAGNCAATCACTAGCATCCACTTTCACAATTTTCTCTACTTAAATGTAATCTCCAACGTGTTTACTTTACGACTTTACTGATGTTAACGCCACGAGTTCACTTTGTAACTAACTTGACTTGGCAGCTGAGTGTCGCCCTTATATAGCAGTCGGCTGCTCGCAAACGAAAGTGTAGAACAATCGAGTTGTTCGTTATCGAAGGCTCTTGTTCTAGAATGTACTAGTTATCGGCTTCTCTCTTTCATCTGACATTCGCCTCTCATTTTCGCAACAATTTGACACCAACAGACAATCATTGAAATAAAACCAAACACTCATTGTGTATGAGGAAAAAAAAATTACAAATTATTAAAGAAACGGGCTTTTTCTTTACAAATCAATTCAAGATTTTTTTAGTTTCTACTACAATCTTTTATATACCATACGTTTTCAAATGGAACAAACAAGCGGAACCGAAAATGTCGAGCTGCGTGCCGTGTGAATGGGGGTAATTTGCATTCGTAATTGAGAGAGCGAAACACGTAACTGGGTTGTCGTGAAAATTCCGTATTACTTTCTTTCGTTATCGATACTTTTTTCGAAATTTATAATAATTGCACATCAATGTTTTTCGCTGCCTTGGTTCTTTAATTCCGAGATATTTTTTCTACGCTTTACGGACGTTGGTGTTTTGTATCTTTATAACACGATAATTATTAATAAATTTTTATTTGAGTATTTTGTGTAACAAGCTGTGCAATTATTAATAGTAGTATCGTAATATTTTGTAAGCCTGTGAGAAATTTATTTAGATAACCTCTGGGGTCTAAGAAATTATAACTTGGCAGTATTGTTATGAGAAAGGTATGATGATAAAGAATATTTTAATTAATTTTAAGCACAGTGAAAATACAACATAATCCCTTATGTTTTTAAAAACGCATATCGAACAATAGCTGCTTGCCATTCGGAAATTGGCCAAATTCTACATATAATTAATTAGGTATCTATACTCATTAGACGATATTAGTTAACATTTTAAGACTTAATTATTAAACCTGAAACGACCTAAATCGGGTTGATTTTCCTGCCTTCCAATATGAGTGAAATTTACTATGTTATGTAGACAAAAACAAGCCGTTAATATGTGTATAAGAGAGTATTTAAGTTAAAAAATTTCTGGGAAAATTTTAGTACCGATGTTGGTGTTTTTACTGCAGTTTTCTGCGTCGGTGTTAGGAGGCTTACTTTTAGTATTTCACGCGCGCATCTTTAAAAATTATGCCGTTTCCCTTGATAACCTTGGTAAAATTTTTGTTTAGAGCCACAGGCTTTCACAAATAAATTTTATATGGATGGAAAGAGGAAAAATCCTAGATTCTAAAACTAAATTTATTTTCTTTAGCTGACTTATAGTTTTTTAATAATTCTATTTTAAATTTTGAGTAATAAATGCAAAATTACGTCTACATTAAAGTTGCCGGACTACTAAGTAAAATAATATTAAAGTACAGAGCCTGTTTGTTTGTATTTTGGCAAGGCAGGCGTAGCCACTCAGTATAAAGGTTTATAAATTAAGGATACATATGAAGGAGAATATAATAAAAAAATTGTTTAAAAAAATAAAATGTTATTCACTTAAAAATTTTAAGTTAAGTAAAACCCCTTTGTAAATTGGCGGCCTTCGGCCGCGCTTTGGATTGTTACCCTGGGCCGAACCAACACCGGCTTCGCCTTGCACAGTTTTCTTAAGTGAAACACCTTTGTAAATTGGCGGCCTTGGGCCGCGCTTTGAATTGTAACCCTGGGCCGGACCAACACCGGCTTCGCCTTGCATAGTGTTCCTAAGTGAAACTCTTCTATGAAAAATATTGGAGAAAATCCTTGAGTAAAAATAAAACAAATTGTAATTACGGCTTATAGGTGTGTTTTATTGCATTAATAAGTTGTAAAAAAGGATATTTATGGCGCCTACTTATATTTCTACGCCACAAATATTCAACCACAATCTCAGCAAAATTGGCTGGGTTATTGTAGTTATCTTTAGCAAAGTACCTTTTAATTACACGCCACTGCGACTCAATTCTTTGAGTGTGTGTCCCATCCGGCGCTACAAACGGATTCTCCGGATCGCTGTGGTTAACTTTCCGGTGCACATACCCGTAATCCTTCAAGCAGTCGTAGGCTTTCCAACAATCTGTATGGATTGTTGTTCCCTCTACGACATGCTTGCGGATTAGAGGGATGAGCACATCTGCAGACCGAGCGTTATCCGGACACACTTCAAGACGTATGTCCTCACTACCATCTTCAACCATGCCAAGGACCCAATGACCGTCAACCCTCCTCCCTGTAAAGTAATAAATGCATAATTAATATGTAATTCTAAAAACATATAAAAAATTTAATTTACCTTTATTAAATTTTCTTTTTCCAAATTTAGATTCGTCGATTTGGACGACTTTCCCCGGACCACCAATTTTACCAACAAAATGCTGTAAATCGATTTCATATAAAACTACCGCCTCCCTACAGTAGTTATACCAATCAGTAATTGTCACACTTGACAATGTGGTTCCTTTATAGGGGTTTTCAAGCCTTACGGCTGCTTGCGACCAATGGTGGGCAAATCCATATATTATATGAAAGATTAGCGGCAGTGATATCTTGGCATTTTCGAACCATGTATTGGTGGCCCGGGAAACTCTTGCCTTTGTCCGGCAGTTGCCTTTGCTGCACCTAAATGAGCCCACTGTTTCGTTGCCGGCATCACTCACCGACGTGTAGCTTTTGTGAACTGGACACAATTTAGATTTTAATATAAGTCCCATATCTTCAGAAAACTTAACACATTGTTCCCTTGTGCCCAGCTCTAAATAAACGCGTACATAATTCCACATAGTCGCTATCTCTGCTGCAGTCAGCACATTAGTAGCACGTGGAAGGAATTTCTAAATAAATGTATTTTATTAACGTATATATACATAATATGATCGTTATAATTTTTACTTACCGGTTTCAACTGAATTCATTTTGAAAAAATAAATTGTTATCACTTAGTTAATCACTTTAAAAAAGACTTTCACTTACCGCGAATGGAAATAGCGAATAAAAAATAACAACATTAAAATAACTGGAATAAAACTAGCAGTAAATTTTCATTTTGTTATGTTTTTATATTTTGTTGTTGAATATTGTTTAATTTGTATAATATTTTACATGGTACGGCACCACCATCCATATTTATTGCTGAATATTGTTGAATTTACAGAATATTTTACCCTGTACGGCAACACCATCCATATTAGTATGCAGCCATGTTTAAGTGAACATTTGTTTTGATTATAATATAATTTGTTAATCTTTATTTAAGTCACATTGCGCGTTTATATATACAAAATAAGTGAAATTATTTAATAAAATCAAAGTAATATTTGTTTTTGTTAAGCAAAAATGAAAGAATAGTGACCGATTCATAAAGAAATAATGGAATAAAGTTAACACTTTATAACAACAAATAACTTATANAAAAATTCGATTTTTTTGCTATTTTAAATGTAAATATCTCGAAAACTAAAGGTCTCCGGTAGGTTTGGTTTTCGGTTTCTGAGAGAGGGTGGAACCCCCTACCACCCCTTATAATTCGTTTTTCCCAAAGCCTGGAACCATAATGGAAAACTTTCCCACAATTTATAACAACAAATAACTTATAAACTATAATATATTCAAATTCCAAAAGTTAAAATATTGGAAAAATATATTTCTCATCATTCCTACGAAGTTTCATCTCGAAATTCCTAGTTGTTTGCTTACAATAACAAGTGGGGCTGCATATCAAAGCTCAGCCATAACATTTTTCGAGATTTTTTGAACAACAAAAATCCCAGAACACTTCGAAGTCCCTTATAATAATGGCCAAATAATGTTCGCTGCGATTTTACTTAATTAATTTGATAAACATATGAATATTTTCCATCATTTTTACACATAGAAAATGCGTTCTCATGTTTGTTTACATTATTAAGTACTGTGAAGTAGTATAGGGCCCGTGGTTTATCTGTATAAAATGGTCGGGGTAGGTGGTTGGACGACTACGATTTCTAAAAAATATATATTTTATCGCTGGCAAATTTATAGTATAAAAGTTATCAACATTTTTTTTGTGTAGTATAACGTACTTTATTGCTTGAAGGGGCTTTCAAAGTTGGAAGAATTATTTAGGTTGTGCTTTCCTTTATGGCCCCAATGCTTGTTTCAGCCAAACTAATTGACCAATCCTAATGGTCTCCTGGCTCCCACGACAGTCGGGTCTATAAACCGGAACGACCGGATTATTTAGTAACTTAAATCTGTTCACATGTGATACCAAAGATTGCTATATTTTTATTTTATTTGGCTAGCAGTAACATACTATTTTTTTTTTTTATATACATTTTTTTTTGAAACTATTTGCAAGAGAAATGTCTGATAATCGCAATAAGTGTGTATAGCTATACGACATAAAAAATACACTATTTTACAGGTTGTATGCACACAATAATATTTTAAACACATTTTTTTATACTTCAATAAAAAGAAACGACGTAAAATACTGAGCAAGGAGATGCCGGTGTTGGTCCGACCAACTTAAAAAGGAATTTTCTTTAAAAACACGCCCCAAGACCGCAAACTTATAATGGAATTTAATTGTCCATCCCAGGATTACAGTCAAAAGCGTGGCTAAAACCTCCCAAATTACAAAGCAGTTTCGCTTAAAAATACGATGCAAGACGAAGCCGATGTTGGTCGGGCTCAAGGTAACAATCGAAAGCGTAAAACCAAGCCTCAAACAATAAAGGAAAAGTCGTTTAATGATGAATTATATATTGTTATTGTAGCCGGAGGTCCAGGAAACGAACTTTTGGACGGGATTGGACCAAATGGAGAGCGGGGTTAGATGAGTCGGCTTCAGGGGGCATGTGAAGAGGTGGTTATTGTCGTGCGGAGACTCTCCACCTGCAGGGCATACGTTGGATATGCTGGGAACGAGTCTGGATAAGTGGAAGTTTAAGCTGCTACAGTATCCAGACCTAAGTTGTGCTAATGTCACAAGCGTCTCTCGAGGCAGCTGGAGCTCATTGTCTGCACATCATTCACTGGAAGGGAGCTCTTGAAGGTGTTGACTGACTCTTGGCGAATGGCGTTCAGTGCTTGTCAGTACGCCGTTCTGTCCAGCGGTTGTTGAACATATTGCTGGATTGTATTCTTTAAATCTATTACTCCTAAGTGGAGGATCAGCTTGTATTAGGTGCCTTTTGTGGTGCTCCCTGCGGTAACATCTCAATAGGGACTGCTTGCGCAGCAAAGCGTTATGCTTCTTAACTCGTAGCATAAATGCTTCGCTGTGCAAATGATGCTCCTGGGACATCAGGCTGTCTAGTATCATTCCCAATATCTTTGGCTTATTTACAGTCAGAATTATTGCGTCAGCGACCTTCACATCTAGTTCTAGCTGGGGAAGAGGGTAGCCGAGTTTTGAGTCGGCTGTATTTTCAATTGTCGTGCAGTGAATAAGTGAGAAAGATCGGCAAGAAGGCAGTTCACTTTCGAACAGAGGTCATCAATATCTTGGCCATACGTCATTATCGTACAATCATCGACATAAGGGGTTAGGGAAACACCTTCTGGTGCAGGAGAGAGTTTCGAGATATAGAAACTAAACAGTAGCGGGGAGAGGACACCACACTGCGGAACCCCCTTTTTAATTTTTCAGGGTTACGATGTTTCACCTCGGAATATACCGATGATTGCCAACCACTCGGATAGCCCATTACCCACCTCTGCAACTCCGGCGGTAATGAGGACTCCTCAATGTTCGTTAGTAGCACTGAATGATTGACTGTGTTAAAAGCTTTTAACACATCCAGTGCTACCAGGACACTTCGCGCACAGAGTCGATTTTGGTTAAGGCCATTGGCTATCTGGGTGTTTATGGCGTTTATTGCTGTTGTGGTGCTGTGCACTTTTCGGAAGCCATGCTGATGCGCTGCTGGACGCAGATGGTGAGTGAAAGTCGGGAGCAGTAAGGCCTCAAGTGTCTTCGCTGCAGGGGAGAGGAGAGTTATCGGCCGATAAGACTCTCCTTCGTTGCCTGGTTTCCCCGGTTTGAGTAGCAGTTTTCACTCGTCAGGTATCATT